TTTTTTTTTTTTTTTTTTTTTTTTTTTTTTTTTTTTTTTTTTTTTTTTGATCATCTACAATTTGCGATTTTCATGATAGTGTACCAGCTCACAATGATTTAAAAAAGAAATGTTTTATTATCATATTCACAACCTGCAATTATTTAATTTATTTGTTTACTTAAAATTGCTGTGTCACAATATTGTTAAAAACTTACTATATTGCATTAATAATGTAAAACTTATATAGATATATCAGATATATTATTGAACATATGAGACATATCATATATATTAGATATCTACAATCAATTATTTTTTCTCCTGAAGAAATCATGAAAGAACAATGACTTGTGACAAAAGATCGTCAGACTGAAAACTATATACGTGCCAGAAAATAAATATTTTGAAAGACGTTACTTCATGAAAAACTGACATAAATACACGAATGAAGACACGCTGTTTCGAATAACCAAAAATTGCACGATCTTTTCGACTCGTACGATACCTTTCTGTTTTTCGACTATCTCAACCTTTGAACAGTCCGCGAAAAGAATATAAACGAACAGATAGTATCTAGAAGTATTTGAATCTTTCACTGGACAAACCAGTCTGACTGTGTGAGAGACTGATCATCCCGTGTATTTTGTTAAAGTATTACAACTCCTACGCACATGGTCGAATGTCTACCAATTAATTGCCAATCACTAAGTGTGTGTAATTCAATAATCCTTCCATCGAGGAGGAATTGGAGACCGACGGTAGATTAATTACCACGGTAATTGCGTGTTCATTATCGTATGCTGATTGCTGCAACTCTAAGCAAAATGCAATCCTACTCGGATGTCAGACTCGAGGCCACGCGTTCGCGCGATACTCGTTAATTGTGATATTCATGAATTACAAACGTGTCGCGTAGAAACATTTCTTGTTTCGTCGTCGTACTGTGATGTAATAAGGATTATTTGAAATTCCTTCGGCAGGTAGTAGAAGTCGATGTTGGGATCGAATTTCTGGGACATTTGTTGCTCGACCGAAATAATTGACGAAGTGGAAAATTCGAGAAATCCAAGAAAGCTAAATATTCAAGGGAAATATCTAGGGATGTCTAAGAAATTGAAAAACGAAATTTAAGAAAATTCAAGAAATCTAAGAAACACGAGAATTTGAAAAATTTATGAAATCCAAGAGAGTTGTTCGATTTCAGAAATCTAAGAATATCTAAGGAAAATTAACAACACTCTTTGTATAACTCAACTTGCAATCAGCATAAGCTTCGTGGAGTTATATCGTGTGACTATCTATCGATAGAAACAGCTGTGGCAAGGGTTAAAGACAGGTATTTTTTTCCAACGCTTTTTATTTCTTCTTTTTTTTTTTCCTTCTTTCCCTATTACGGACACACTTTCCGTAGGATTGTAAAGATGAAAGAAGCGCCAATTATTTTTGATGTATGTAAAAGAACTAGATGCTAGAGAAACGTTGCTAAATTTTCATATTATTTTGACATGAACAATCACATGTGTTGTGATGCGTATAACTACAGTGTTTCACAAAAATATTCGAATATTTACCATAGAATTTTTACGTTTTATACAACATTGTAAATAAGGAACTATTATAATTATATTAGCAAAGTTTGAAGCAAATTTGAAGAAATTGAACTTGTAGAAATTACATGATGTTTAATAAAATACATTTAGCAAATATACAATGAATCATCTTAAATGCACAACAAATGTTAAAGATGGCTCCATTGAATTGTAATAATGAATTGTAGTTGTTTGAATATTTTCGCAATTCCCTCGAAATATATACTTGTACTAATTTGTTTTAAACTTAACCAATATAATGAAACTTCAAAAATTTCTACACATACATACATCTTTAGATTTGATTCAAACTCGACCAACATAATCATCGAGCCTCGCCACAGAATCAATGAAATTTCAAAATGTTTCACACGATGCGCCCAATACATTCATAAATATTCGAATACATTTGCGAGCAACTATATACAACTAAATTACTGATTACCGAGTATATTAGGTTGGCCAAAAAGTAATTTTTCACGAGAAATGAAAACTCCATTAAAGAATATATTTTATTCGACAATCTTTCTGTGGTAACTTTATGAGTTCTCATCTTTTTCGACGAAAAAAAAAAAAAAATTCCAAGAACGATTCGATGTCCTCGTCAGTAGTGAAGTTTGGCAATTCTGACATTATCGTAGTTCAAAGGCTTCTTCATCGTACACGTCCGATTCATTTTTTATGAACTTATACAGTTTTTTTTTTTCTTTCTTTCGCCGGACAAACAATCGTTAACGAAATCGTAGATTTTCTTTCTCCAAAACAGATTACACAATGAATCGGTGGCTTGATAAGTAAAATTTCAAAAAAGAAGTCAATTTTTGGTCAACCTAGTATTTATAACCATCTCCTCCATTAGCATTTAACCTCTTAGTTGTAAACATATACTTTAGAATATTTTGAGACTAGATATGACCGGTACTTTCTGCATTATTTCTAAATTTTCTTGCCATTGATATTAATATTACTAATTTAATATAATTATTACTAATCGATACCAGTTGAGTTAAACAACAAAATTATTGATTTAAAACGGGGAAAAAAGCTAATGTTATTTAATTCAATTCCACAGCAGCTGCACGTATATTCTCGTGTTTTTGACGAATGTAATCGTCGTCGCGCAACATAACTTTAAAATTAAAAACGGCATCGCAGCTAAGAGGTTGAATAATCTGTAACACACTCTCCGCCTTATCCCCAAAGGTACGAATATCTCGTAAAACTCGGCGTTATTGGCGGCGTTCCCTCGGTTTCCGTCTATCTAGCCGGAGCTCTCGTTTGCAAATCCTCTCTTCCAGTTCTGAACTTCTTTCCCACCCCGGTGCAAGAGGAGTGCCTGTCGCAGGACAAACGACGACGCGGCATATGCATGAACACGTATGAGTGTCGCATTCAACGGGGAAAGTCGTACGGGCGATGTGCGCTCGGTTTCGGCGTGTGCTGCATATGTAAGTACATACATCGGTGCATAACTATGCCGAGATCCATTCCCACCCCACCGATTCCTATGGTGCGCGAGCATTTATTTCGTAAATTCTTCGCAGCACGGGGAAATCGCACGAGGATTGGCGCGCGGACGCGTTTAAATTTCCGGGGATTCGCGCGCCGTTCTTGCGCTACCGCTAGAATTTGTTGTTGATACTGCAATTAATTCCCCGTTCGTTGCTCTCGTTTGTATTTCACGGCTCTTCCACGTTTGCACGCGTCGTATGGAGGAACAATTTTTTTTCTAACATTTTACAGAAATTTTACAGATTTGACTTCTCGTAAAATGTTCAAGTGAAAAGCTAAATAAAAGCTCATTTTTATTATCATATAGTACAGTATATTACAATCGATTTTTAATCTTTTAACATTCGCAAATTACACACGCTGATTTTTTCATTAAAATGGAAAAGAAATAATGAAATAGTTCCGAATAGTTATTCGAAGCCGACAGTTCGGAAAACCACAGGCTTTATCTCTTTCCCTTTTCATAAATGCATTTAGTACAACAATGCGTAGCATGCTGGTCTACGTTTCATTTTATTCAAAACAAT